TTTTTAAAAATGAGTAATTTGATACCTTTAGTTGTAATATTTTTTAGTCAGTTTTTGCATTTATTATTTGATTGTATCAGAAGTGGCTGAATAGTAAATGGAAAATAAACAGAAAAGAAAGATGTTCATTTTATCCAGGTTCTTGGATTGATTGATATACAGTGGTACATAGTATTCTCTTATAATCCTTTCTGTTTCTGCAAAGTTGGTAGTGATGTTTCTTCTTTCATTCCTGGAATTAGTAATTTCAGTTTTCTCCCTCCACATTTTCCTAGTCATTCTAGCTTAAGGTTTCCCAATTTGATTGATATTTTCCAAGAACCAACTTTTGGTTTTATTGAGTTCTCCAATGTTCTTCTACTCTTTATTTCATTTATTTACACTACAATTTTTATTTCCTTCCTTTTGCTTATTTGGGGCTTAGGTTGCTTTGCTCTTTATGTTTCTTAAAGTGAGATGTCAAGTTATTAACTTGAGATAATCCTTTCTTTATCCTTTTCTTTCTCAATATATTGGCATTTACAGCAGGAAGTTTTCCTTTAAGCACTGCCTTATCTGCTTCTTATACGCTATATTACACTGTGTACTTGTTTCCATTTATCTCAAAGTATTGTCTAATTTTCCTTGTGCATTTCTCTTTCATCAATTGGTTTTTAGAGTGTTTAGAAAATTGTTTGTCTTAAAGATGACATTGCCTGATATTATTAATAGCAATTTCAGTTGTCTTTGCTTACTATTTATGTGTTTTATCTTTTCCACATGTTTACTTTTAAACTACTTGTATCTTTGGATCTACACTGTATCTTTAGATCATTTTTTAATGCATTCTGAGAATCTTTGCTTTTTCTTTTGACTGTTTAGCACTTTGACATGTAATGGAATCACTGCTGAGGTAGAATGGAATTTACATCTGCTGCCTTTTTCTTAGTTTTCCATATGCCCTATGTGGTTTGTTCATTTTTCCACCACTATTGCTTTCTTTTGTGTTAAACAGATATTTCTACTGCATCATTTCACTTCCTTTATTGTCTCTTTTGCCTTTTTTATTTAAAAAATTTATTTTCTTTATCATTTCTGGGGATTCTAATTAATATCTTAATTTACCACATCCTAGATTGTATTAAAACCAACTCAATTTTAACAGGATGCAAAATCTCTGCTCCAATGTTGCTTTGCTTCTTCCCCCATCTTTGTGGTATAAAAATGATATATACATAAATTATATGGTACAGATGTTGCAAAGAATAATCACCTGCCACTTCCACCTCCACCTGCCAACTCCAGAGGATGCCGGGTGTGAATCCCTGGAATCTCTCCTCTGGGTTACATGGAAAAGGGTGTGAAGGCTGCAGATGGAGTTGAGGTTGCTTATCATCTGCCCTGGAGATGGGGTGATTTTCTGGATTTCCCTGGGGGTCCAATGGAATCACATGAACTTTATAGAGGAAGAGGCAGACAGAAGAGTGAGACCCAGATGGGGGAGCACAGTGAGGATTTAGTCTGATGGAGCTGCCTTTGAAGATGGGGAAATAGGCCCTGAGCCATGGATGTGGGCAGTTGGAGAAGCTGGAAAAGGCAAGCAGGAGACAGTTCTCCCCAAAAGCCTCCCAAAGAAACACAGCCCTGACAGCACAGTGATGTTAGCCCAACAAGACCCATTCCAACTTCAGATCTCCAGAATGGTAAGACAACACATTTGTGGGTTGTTTTGTTTTGTTTTGCTTGCAACCTCCACCTCCTGGGTTCAAGTGATTCTCCTGCCTCAGCCTCCCGAATAGCTGGGGTTACAGGCGCTGGCCACCACACACAGCTAATTTTTGTATTTTTATTAAAGATGGAATTTCACCATGTTGGCCAGGCTGGTCTTGAACTCTCAACCTCAAGTGATCCACTCACCTTGGCCCTCCAAAATGTTGGGATTACAGGCATGAGCCACTGGGCTGTGCTTAATAAGATATGTTTTAAAGTGGTCATTGCTTTAGAAGGAAAAAGTTCAGGTGAAGAAGGTCCAGGATCTCCCAGCCAGGCAGAGGTCTTGCACTAGGAAATAGGTGCCTCTACATTTTATTTATTTATTTTTATTTTTATTTTTTTTTAAAGTTTTCATCTTTAATGAAATGACTTTGGAAACAATATATATTTCCATGACACCAATACTACAGTTTTTGGAGTCACAGTAAGATACACAGAATTACATCCGTAATTAATATGAATGCCAACATGTCAAGCAGTAATTTGTTACATGGCAAACAAAATCAAGAAAGCAACCATCAAACAAAAGAGACCCATAGCTTCAGACAAGGCAAATCCCAGGATAGCATATGAGAACAGCTGCTGCTTCAGCGAAGGGTTTCTAAAAGAGACCACATACGACTGTTACTTTGAAATATTAGTTTCAACATGTTTGGTAAATGTTAAAGAATCAGATTACTAGTGTGGGGATTTTTGTAAACTGAAAAGTCTGCTGAAAGATTATTTGTCTAGGTCTCTCTCACACTCTGTTCTCCTCAATCCTGATAATACAGCATAAAGGTAGGGAGCTGTCACACATTTTGACGGCTTCTGACATTCTTATTCCTCTGAAATTATGTTCTATACCTTTTAAGATCTGACAGTTTAGGTGTTAAATAAATTGATCCTTTAAAGGAATATGCTCTAATAATTATATTCCCAATATAGCTTAACAATTAGGAATGCAGACTCTGAAGTCAGACTTAGTTAAAATTCATTTTGTGACATTTACTAGCTATGACCTGGAAAAGTAATGTAACCTCTGTGTCTCTAGTCCTTCACAGGTGTTACTCTAATAACACCGCAAATGGTGTTATGAGAATAAAGTGAGATAATGCATACAAAGCCCTTTAAATATAATGCAAGACACAGAGTAAGCACTTAATGCAAACAGCAGCTTTCTAAGTTTCCAATGATTTCAGGCATGCTCTTAAAGGAACTTATTTAGGGACAGAAATGATTACCTGGCATAACCAATGATAAGGCTGCCAAAGACTGTTCCAATACCAGCACCAGAACCAGCCACTCCTACTGTTGCAGCACCCGCACCAATAAATTTGGCAGCAGTATCAATGTCTCTGCTGATTGCACTGGTCTGAAACTCCCTTTGGATTAGCTGAGATACACCATTCTGGGCCCCATTAAATACCGTAGAGCCCTCTCCATTCCTGGTCTCTGGTCGAGATAACACTGATGCAGAAATTGGTCTGTATGCAACTCTGGATCCAGCTCGGATCAGAGCGGGTGTACAGGCGAGCTTGGCGCAAGCGAACATCTTACGCTCTTCGGGACCACGCGGCTGGAGGTCTTGTATGACACGCTACGTGGGCTCCTCTCCCGCTTCCTCTCTTCCCGAGAGGTGGCAGCGGCACCGGGTGCGGCAGAGGTCGAAGAAATGGGGCTTCGCCTCTGCATTTTAAAAAGGTTAAGATGAAAAATTTCATGTTACATGAATTATACCACAATTTTAAAAAGGAAAGAAAGAAGGAAATGAATAAAGGAATTTCAATGGGAGGGGCAGGCATGGAATGATGCACCTGAAGCAGGGGTGGGGGTGAGCCCAGCAGTCCACACTGAGGGGAGGGCAATGCAAAGTCCTGGGGCACAGGGACAACTGCAGGGCTCTGAAGACCAGTCAGGAGGCCAAGGAGGCCGAGGGTGGGGGTAGGAGCTGAGTGGCAGGGGGGCAGCGTAGAGGACTGCTGGTCAGGCTGCGCAGGGCTCCCTAGGCGTCACTGGTGACGTTGGTTTTACTGAGAGAAAAGGGGCACTTTGGGAGGGTTTGCAGCAGAGGAGGGACGTGCATGGTGAGGTTCGGAAGGATCACTCCGGCTGCTCTGTTGTCAGTACCATTTGGCAGCTGGGGACAGGTACAGGGGCCAAGAAGGGCAGGACTGCAATCACCCTGGCCAGGAGGACAGTGGCCAAGAACCAGGGTAGGGGACTAGATGACGGAGTGGTCAAATAATAGATGTTTTATTTCTAGTTCAGAGAAGAGATAGGAAACAGGTCCAGCTAAGAGGTGATTTTTAAAACAATTCACAGCCTTACCACATAACCTCTAAATCCTCAGTAAAGTTGGCTCCATTCACAAGTAGCTGGTGTCACTTTGGTGGGGGCTTTGTAAGGAAGTGGGCAGGTGTCTTTCAAGGAAGACACAGAAGAGCTGGTCTTCCAGTTGTGGAGGGGAATGGAGTTACAAGAAGAAAACAGCGAGGTTCAGTGAAATGCAGTGGGAACACGAGCTCAGCTCAGGGGCAGGAGCTCCGGGCCTTAGAGAGCAGGGTGATCCTAAAGTGTTCACACAGAAACCAGGCGATAGAGGGCACCAGCACCCGCCAGACACGAGGTAGGGCCACTGTCACCGCTATGCCAGGGCCTGCAGAAGCCTAAACCCTGAAAAAAGGTGGGGCCCCCTACCTACATATTAAGGAAAACATATGTATGCTATTGCATGCTGGTCTCCAACAACTGCTAAAATTGTTCACTGATGATGAATCAGTAGTGAACTGAATCCATTTCCTAACAAGAAGCCCTGTTCTAGAATAACTATGTGACAGTTGGCTGCGCCACTGTCTGTGCACGGTGGGCGGGTGTTCTGCTACATAGGCCTCTCCACACCCAGAGGGACTGAGCTGATTTCTGCTCCTCTGAGAATTTGTGCATAGAGGCTCTGAGAAAGCAGTCACCTCAAGCCTCTCCATCCTAGAAAGGGCAGAAGGACAAAGGTCTCCTGCTGGCACAAGGTGACGGGGGGGGGTGGCCGGTGTTCCAAACACCAGTGCAGACAGAACATGTGCATGTTTGGGAGTGAAGGAATAAAGCAGGGGCTTGGGCTGTGAGAAAGGCAGGGGCAGTTAATGAAGTAAAAGTGGGGTTGGGGGAGCGGATGGGGGTGTGGGGGAGAGGGCGCTGGTTAAGGCAGGGAGGACAGGGGTAGCTCTGTGGGTCTTCTGCCTGCACACCAAGTACTCACGGATCTGTGCCTCTCTCCAGCCTGGGGTCCCAATTTCTCCGATTTGGGTGGATGGGGATTTCTTCTTGTTTTCTTGTCCTAACTTCCTCCTTCTGACTTCTGGAAACATGTAAAAAATGTGCATTCCTGGACTCCTTCAAACCCTTGACCCACTGTCCTCTGAGCAAACAACCACTTATCCCCCCAGCTCTGGAAAGAGCCCTGCCCATAGTCCATAGTTTCTGTCTTTGACATCTGTTCCATCTAGTTAAGAAAGGAAAGTGGTAAAGACCCACTTACGAGGCATCATGAAAGTCCCAGCATCTGAGTCACAGGATGTCATCATGTAGGTCTGACATGCACTTGAATTAATTAGCATACTGCCCAGCACACAGAGGGAACTTAGAAGTGAAAAGGATATGGGTGGTGTGACAGACCAGATGTTTGCCTTCCCTTCAAATTCATATGCAGAAATCCTAACTCTCAATGTGATGGTATTTAGATCATTAGTCATGCGAGTGGGGCCCTGTGGGATTAAGAAGTGACAGGAGAGCTCCCAGTCACTCTCTGCTCTCCACTGTGTGAGGATGCGACAGGAAGACAGGCATCTGGTGAGGAAGAGTGGTCCCTTGCCAGATACCAGATCTACTGACACCTTGATCTTGGACTCCCCAGCCTCCAGCACAGTGAGAAATAAATGCTTGTTGTTTCAGCCACCTCATCTATTCTGTCACAGCAGCCTGAACTGGCTAAGGTAGCAGGGTCAGATGACGAAATGGAACAGCCTTAAAAGTGAGATGGGAAGGAGGGCTACAAATATTAAGTTTGAAGAGTAAACCTTGTGCCAAAAGTGGCTTGAGAAATTTGAAAATGACACAAAACTTTGTTCTATGACGAATTTTCAGAATTCAAAACTTAGAGCCCCGAGAGTTTTCCCAATGATAGACTTGGCTTTCCTTGAGGTCTTGGCCCCAGCAGGACTGCTGGACTCTTATGAAATCCATCTGTAATGGTAGACCAGTTGCTGCCTCTTCGCAGCTAGTTAAATTAATATTGGGGTGTGGTTAATGAGAGAAAATCTCAGCCCTTTAAGAGTACAGAGTTTGAATGGGTTATGAATAGTGGGAGAGGGGAGAATGGAGATGAGAGAAAATACAGGAAGGGGGAGGGGGCACCAGGAAGAAAAGGAAAAGCAAAAGAGGCAGGGAGGGGAAGGGAAGGGGAAATTGGAGGAAGGGAGAAGGAGCTCACATAACCTCCAGCCATGCTGCTCACACCAGAGGGTTTTTTTTTTTTTGCAGGGGCAGTGGGGATAGGAGAGGAGAGAGAGTTTATTCAAAGTTAATTTTGTTTTCAAATGTCTCCTGTTATTTTTCAATAAATAATTATATTTTGAATACTTGAAAAACACTCCTTTCACAAAGTTCTTCTTTAATTGGGTCTCTACAGGCCTGTCCTTTGTTGTGCCTCTGCTGGCAGTGCCCACAGCCACACTGTTAGACAACATTTCTTCACCATTCCAGTGAGGGTGTATGTGTGCCCGCCCACTTCTTGCCTGTTACTCTCCACAGTGTGCCAAGAGTGTCCCTAACTTCTCACCCTGTGCACCTTCTTTGCCATCTACTGTTGCTACTAACAGCCTTGCAGATCGGGGTTGGTGACTGTCCTGAGATCACAAGACCGGGCTGAGGACAGGGAGGGGGAGGGAGAAAGGTGGGGGGTAGGTGACTGGGGCTTCATGCAGGCTTCAGGCAAGTGGGTACCTGCTCTTAAGGATGAGGTGAGGAAGAGGATCCCTGGGATGTTACCCCTAGTTTGTGGGAGACCCCAGCCTGAGATCCCAGGCCAGGCACTGGCTCACAGGTGACAGCTCTACAATGCTACCTCCCACCTTCTACTCCAGGACCCTTTCCTGAACACCCAGGACCCAGGAGGAATTTGGTGTGTGTCCCATGATAAATGCCTCTTTTTCCTTTTGTTGAAGGTCCTATGTGTTCATCTAGATTTGAAGTCTCAGGAGGTCACACACTGGCTTGTCTGTTTTGTACCTCGGAATTTGGTAGATGTTGCTAAAAGTATTTGTGACATGAATCCTCCTGTTAACGCTGTTAACACTAAGTGGACCCCAGAGGTCCCTGGTACCATCAAGTATCTCACCCCAGACAGTCAAGGGGAGATGGGAGCAGAGATCCAGAAGGTTGAAGGATTCTGGGATGGAGCCACCCCCTCTGCCAACCTGGCCGGGTCCAGGAAGTCTGGGGACACAGAAGCGCGGGTTCTAATGGGCCTCTTCCCCTGTCCTGGACCTCACCTGCGTTTTTCTCTCACAGGTGCTCACTCTCTTTGCTTTGACTTTGCTATAAAATCATGGTCCAGACCAGGGCAGCCCTGGTGCAAAGCACAGGGCTTCATGAATAAAAATATTTTCCTTCAGTATGACAGTGACAGCAACATGGTCAAACCTGTGGGCCTCCTGGGGAAGAAGGTAAATGCCACCAGCACATGTGGAGAATTGACCCAAAAGCTGGGAGAAGTGGGGCAAAACCTCAGGATGCTCCTTCTTGACATCAAACCGCAGATAAACACCAGTGGTAAGTGTGGAATGGAGGCAGGCAGCAAGAGAGGGGAGGGAAGAGCACAGGTGGGGAGGGGCTTTAGGTGTATTTGTGTATTGATTGATCATTGGCCCAATCATAGAGGCACATAGGACCCAACAGGCAAGAAAGGACAAGTCCAGGCAGAAAGAATACAGGCCCCTAAATGTGCAGAGAAACACTTGACCTGTTGGAAGATGATGGACTTCTTAAGAGTGGAGGATGATGGCTTTGTGTCTGGATTGCAGGTCCTTCCACTCTGCAGGCCGAGATGTTTTGTCAACGTGAAGCAGAACGATGCACTGGTGCGTCCTGGCAGTTTGTCATTAGTGGAGAGGAATCCCTCCTCTTCGATGCGATGAACATGACCTGGACAGTAATTAATCATGAAGCCAGCAAGATCAAGGAGACACAGAAGAAAGACAGAGGGCTGGAAAAGTATTTCAGGAAGCTCTCAATGGGAGACTGCAATCACTGGCTTGGGAAATTCGCAGAGCACTGGGAGGCAATGCCAGAGCCGACAGGTAACTGAGCTAAGTGGAAGAGTGGGGCAGCTCTCTTTAAAGGTCAAAAGTCTTCCCTGTGTGCGCATCAGCATGTGTGTTGTGGGTAACACCCTCTACGGGTACTGAGGAAGGAGAACTGCTCAGATCCTAGGCATAATTAGTGCCTGAAGTATACCTCACTGCTTAATTATATCTAGCCTATATATATATATATATAAAATAATTCCACATTATCTTTCTAAATAATCATATAACGGATGTAGTCGGAGCTGTACCAACACATTTAGTGCTGATTTATATAATCCTTCCATATAACCATAGAGTAGTTTGTAGTAGGAGGAATGCCTAGAGCAGTCACAGAACTGAAGCAGTACATGGGAAAACAGCCAGACCAGGACAAGAACCAATGACCCAGGTGGTGCGTCCCTGCCTGAAAGGGCGTACACTGTATGGCAGGCTTGGAGCAAGAGCCTTTCCTCCTGATAAAGGAGTTGTAGTACCTTGCATCCAGTCCCTGTGGAAAGTAGGCCTCAGGCCTGAGATCCCACAAATAACCGAAGGGAAGAAGCCCTCTGGTGTGACCAGTCACGGAGGCTGTACACCCTGTCAGTCTTTTCTCGCTTCTTTACTAGCTCAAATCATCCTCTCATAAATATCCTAAGAGAAGAGCACAAATCTGTCAGCTCCCACTGCATTGGCTTACAGTATCCTTCTATTAGAAACCCTTTGAAGTCATCAGCCCCCAGATAAGAAGTGTTGCGTACGACACCTGTTGCACACAGCCTACCTCCTTGCTTCAGTGACCTAATGGGGGTGGACCCCTTTTCTGTACACAACCCTCTACTACTGTCACGGCACGGCCCCCTACTGCACATGACCCACCTCTCTGCCCAGGTGACGTAATGGGGTGTCCCCTTTGCTTGTGACTCACGTGATTATGTATGCCCTACCACTAAGCCTATAGACGACGACCTCACTCACAACCCTGCCCCCTGCTTGTACCTAATAAATACAGAATCTTCTGGGCACTCAGGGCCTCCCTGATCTCCACTCATTGGTTGCGTGGCCCGCTGAGTCCAGTTGCTCTTCACCAGTTCTTCAGTGTCCTGTCTCTTTACTTCTTGGATCCTGTACTTCAGCACAGCCTAAGGGACACCCCATGACACTGTGGGGGCAACAGCCCTACAGTGTGTGCAACGGAAAATCTGATTGACTTCTCCATGGGCTTCCTGTTTGGAGAGGCAGTGATGGCTGTAAGGATTTACCACCATCCTCCCTGTCCCATCCCACCTCCCACTGTTTCTTCCTCAGTGTAGAAACCCCTTCCCACTAACCAATGATCCAGTCACCCATGACCCAATGCTAAATGGTCCCAGGTCTATCTGAGTCACTGCAAACATCCAGGCCTTCTCTTCCTCTATTATAATTACCCTTCTAACTGCTCTAATGCCATTTCTTAGAAGCCTTCCCCACCTTCCTCACATAGAATTAAGTAAGTATCAACCATTGTGCTTAATCATTCTCCAAGCAGTTCTAACCACAGTAATCATGTGAAATTGTGTAGTAATCAGATGGACATTTGCTACCTCTCTCGGTGGAGATCTGAGCTCAGTAAGGACACAGCACAAGCCCTATTCATCTTCATGGCCCAGGGCCTGGTAGAGTGGCTGTCACATGATCCAGTAATTATGTGGGGCACCATGTGTTCCTGGGGAAGCAGGGGCTGAGGAAAGCGTATTTTTAGGTTTGACAGGTCTTGTGCTTTTTTGCTCTTTTAGTGTCACCGGTAAATGCTTCAAATATCCCCTGGTCTTCCTCTAGCCAACAAACTCTAACGATGATCCTGGGGGTATTAATCTTGTTAGTCATCATGGAAATTTACATCTACAGATGAGTGGAAGGCTGCTGTCTGGCGTTTGAGGACATCTTAGTCTGGTAAGGACTCAGGAGAGGTAAGCCATGGGTCTCACTCAAGACCCCGCTCCCTGATCTCTCTCCGTAGAAATGGCACCCTGTCTCAGTCTTGAGCCCCCACACTACACAGCAGGGCTGGCAGCATAAAAGTGCAATGAGAGGAGGGATGAAGCAAGCATCTCCTCCTGAGGAGTGGCAAGGTCTAAGATCTGGAATGCCTGCCTGGGGTGTTGTCTCCTCACCATCCTGCCCAGGGTTCCCCCAGCCCTTTGATGGAAATATTGTTTGCTGTCTGCGTTTAGCCTGATTTAGCTCAGCAAACCTCCATCCCCTTTTCCCATTTGTGCTGAGAAGACTCGCTGGTGGCGCTTGTGGCTGCAGCATTTACTCCCAGAGAATGCATAAGCTGTGGTGTATGCAATCCTCTCACCACCCTCCAAACATTAAAATGGGTTAAAGAAGGACAAGAAGGACAATCTCAAGCACATGATTAGCCATGTACATTCCAGACTCACATTGATTGAAAGAATGCTAGAAAAGCATCATCACCAGGGCAGCAACGTCTTCAAGGTTCCCTGTGCCCTGATGACGTCACACCTTTCGGGCAAGAAGTTTTTAGAATTTATTTTCACATTGAAAATCAGTCAGGTTTACTTCATCCTCAAAGAGCATGTTCACTTAAAATTAAATGAATGCTGGTGGTGAGCTGTACTTTTTTTTCTAAATGGGAATTAATGTCATAGTGTCTGTTCCTGATCTCCTGTTTCTTCTCTGCATAGTGAGAAGGTGACAATGTCACACCAACCCTTGATGGTGAAACCTGAGCTTTGATGACATTCTGGCTGCCAGTCTAATCTATTATCTCCTGCACGGAGGCGTGTTTTCCAAGATTCACATGCCTCCCTTACATGAGTGCCTTCCTTTTTATATGGTGTCAATTTAGTCATTTTGAAAAATTTGCAAAAGAAAGATATTTGGTCATAATTAATTAGGACTGCCATTTCACTCTGACACTCTCTCCATTACACTTTCCTTCATGTCAGTTGGAATTGGAGTGACTGCTGGCTTTTAAAAAATTCAACTAAGAGGCCAGGTGCAGTGGCTCATGCCTATAATCCCAGCACTTTGGGAGGCTGAGGATGGTGGATCATGAGGTCAGAAGTTTGAGATCAGCCTGGCCAACATGGTGAAACCCTGTTTCTACAAAAAATATAAAAATTAGCTGGGCATGGTAGCAGGTGCCTGTAATCCCACCTACTCGGGAGGCTGAGGCAGGATAATTGCTTGAACCCAGGAGGCAGAGGTTGCAGTGAGCCGAGACTGTGCCACTGCACTCCAGCCTGGGTGACAGAGTGAGACTCCATCTCATAAAAAAAAAAATTCATTTAAGAGGAAGGTGAGTTACAAATATATTGATTTGGGTTTAGGAGGTATATTTATGTCCTCACACTCACTTTTTTGTACAGTTAAGTTATTGCTATGCAGAAACCACAGGTCAGCTGTCCTAAGTCATGACATGTCATGACACAAAGGTACAGGGCCACAGGTTGGATGACCCATGAATTAACACATCTATTCACATATCAACATGTCCTAGAAAAGAGAAAGTGAATATAATCACAAACAGAACACTCTATAGAAATAGAGGAAGAAAAAGCTTACTACTACATGAAAAATGGATGACCGTCATGGACAGGATGTTGAGAGGAAAATGTCAGACACAAAGAACATAATCTCTATGATTCAATTTATATGAATTTCAAAAACAGACAAACTGGATCTTTAATAATAGAAGTCAGGGTAATAATAACCTATAACTTAATCTGACAGATGATCATGCAGATAGATTTCATTTTTGAAAATACATCGAATGGACTATTTAAGATTTTGCACTTTATAGTAAGGTTGTTACATTTCAACAACAACAACAAGAAACTAAGTAGAGGTTTCAATTCCCATTATTTTCTTGACAACTGGTGGCACTCCCCATCAGGAACATATTCAGTAATGAATTAAATTATAAATATATTATATATTTTTTTCTGATGAGAATCTGATACACATGCACGCACATAGAGAACACTATTTTTTTTTAAGATGGAGCCTTGCTCTGTTGCCCAGGCTGGAGTGCAGTGGCACGATCTCAGCTAACTGCAACCTCTGCCTCCTGGGTTCAAGCAATTCTCCTGCCTCAGCCTCCTGAGTAGCTGGGACTACAGGTGCCCACCATCATGCCCAGCTAATTTTTGTATTTTTAGTAGTGATGGGGTTTCACCATGTTGACCAGGATGGTCTGAATCTCTTGACCTTGTGATTTGCCTGCCTCTGCCTCCCAAAGTGCTGGAATACAGGCATGAGCCACCACGCCCAGCCTGAGAGAACTATTATGTGACAGACACATTGCCAGATATCTGCTTGTTGGTCCTGTTTCTCTGCCACTGCTCTGACAAAAGAATTCATTCCTTTCTTCCACTGCTGTCTTTGCCCTCATAGTGTCCTCTCCAGATTGACCCAGGCAGACCTCAACATTTTCAAGTATAGCAATTTAAGTAGAGCTCTAGGGTTCAAGTCACAGTTCCTGGGGCTCTCTGTGGAGTTCAAGGTTAAGAGTCCCCCTCATGAGAAAAATCGTCTATTCCATCTACAACTTACTGAGGATCCATGTTTCTTATGTAAGAAAAGACTCTACCCTTTTAGTTGCTTAAAGGAACACCATGACTCAGATCTGTGTCTGTTTCGCAGGGGCCCTGACATGAAAAGAAAGTTTGCTAAGAACAGTGTCACAATAGGCTTGGCAAGATATGGCTTGAGTCAGACAAGGGCCACTGGTCCAGAAGGGGCTCATGTGGGGGGTGATGTGATGGCAGCAGGAACCCAGGGAGTGAATATGCTCAGATGGGAAGGGATCCCACCTGCAGAGCTGCAGGCAAAGGGGTCCTGCCTTAACCTCTGGTGGAAGGTGACTGAGAAGGATTTAACTGCCCCAACCAAGCAGGCTGGGACTTCAGTGCCATTGACAGTAGCAAAGGGAGTTGGTGAGTAGGAAGGGAGGCAGAAGAACAGTTTTAGAAGCTGGGTCTGGACAGTAGGGGTTTAAAGGAGGTGGGACCTCCATGGACACCTGGGGGTTTCTGACTCCCAGCCTCATCCTGGTGGCTGAGCCTGCTGCTGAAGGGCTTCCTGTCTGGGCAGGAGCAGGCAGGGCTCAAGTGCCGATGGAGGTCGGTGCCCACAGCTGAGCTGAACAGAAATGGGAGGCAGGTGGGAGGCAAGGCGGGCCCTGGGAATGGTGTGTTAGAATTCAAGGGGAAAAAAATGTATCTTTCATCCTCTGGGGAGAGCCTTCCCATTGTGTCACATAGATTTGTCTGTCACAGGGAGAATCAGCACCCAGGGAAGAAGAGTTCTGTGTGCCCATGACATGTTCCTGTTTTGTTGTCTCTGGAATTTCTTGGCATTGTTTCTGCTGATGTGACAGAAAAGAGAAAAAGCTGATCAAAGCTAAATGATAGAGCAAAGGGGTTGACAGGGAGTGTCTTTTCAGGTAAATAGAGGACATTCACCAAGAAGGGCCATTTTTGGATCATAAAATAAATCTCAGTCAGGCATAATGGCTCATGCCTGTAATCCCAGCACTGTGGGAGGCCGAGATGAGCAGATCATTTGAGGTCAGGAGTTCAATACCAGCTTGGCCAACATGATGAAATCCCATCTCTACTAAAAATACAAAAATTAACCAGGCATGATGGCATGTGCCTGTAGTCCCAGCTACTCAGGAGGCTGAGGCAGAAGAATCGCTTGAACCCAGGAGGTGGAGGTTGCAGTGAGCCGAGGTTGAACCATTGTACTCCAGTCTGAATGACAGAGTGAGACTCCCTTTCAAATAAATAAATAAACAAATAAATAATCTATTTCAACAAATATAAAGGGTTGAAATCATGCAAAGCATCTTGTCTGACTGCAATGGAAATAAACTAGAAATCAACATCAGGAAGATATCTGGAAAAATCCTCAAATGTTTGGATATCTAAATAACTATATATCAAAGAAAAAGTACAAAGAAAACTAGAAAGTATTTTGAAATGAATGAAAATGAAAATATAAAATATTAAAATCTATCAGACACAGATAAGAGAGCATTTAGAGGCACCCGCACTGAACTTCCGCCTCTCAAAGTGCTGGGATTACAGGCATGAGCCACTGCACCTGGCTATTTTTTCTTTTTTTTTTTTTTTGACCTCTGAACTTTTTATTGGCCTCCTGCTCCCCAAAGGGTCCCCTGCTTCTGCTGGCGTAATGTCTCAGAACTTTGGTGTCATTGGTCTCAGACACCACTTTGCCATCCACTATCCGGCGGGTGGTGGTCTTTTGGATGGTTTGCATGGAGTTGCTGCTGTCCAGGGCATCACTAAGACTGAAGTCCTCACCATCTTCCAGCAGGCGGCGGTAGGTGGCGATCTCAGTCTCCAGCTTGACCTTGATGTTCAGCAGAGCCTCCTACTCCTGGGCCTGGCGCTGTCCCTCTGCCAGGGTCTGTGCCAGTTCTGACTCCAGGTGCAGAAGGATCCCATTGAGCTGCTCCATGTGCAGGGCGTAGCGGGCCTCCACCTCCCTCAGGCTGTTCTCTAAGCTGATCTTCGTATTTCTCATGGAGTCCAGGTCGATCTCCAAGGACTGGACTGTACATCTCAGCTCTGTGAGCGTCATCTCGGCAGCTTCAACCTCAATGGACCGTGTGGTGACCACTGTGGTGCTCTCCTCAATCAGCTGAGTCCAGTAGTTGTCCAGCTCCTCTCGGTCTTCCGAGCCAGCTCGTCATATTGAGCCCAGATTTCTGCCATGATCTTGGCGAGGTCCTGAGATTTGGGGGCATCTACCTCCACGGTCAACTCGTAGCTGGCAATCTGGGCTTGTAGGCCGTTTACTTCCTCTTCATGGTTCTTCTTCATGAAGAGCAGCTCCTCCTTGAGAGCCTTGATC